CGAAGGAGCGTCCAGAAGGACATGTGACGACTCCGGGCTGGACTCCGCTTCGTCCACGGTGAAAGCCGATCCGGCGATCCACAGCGCAAAGTTGTAGTATTTCCTCAGCGACCAGCACGGATCAGATCCAGGCATGAAGAAGCAGATATCGTCCTCTTTTGGAAGACCAAACAAAGTAGTTTCGCTTTCACAACGAAGCACACAGCGTCTCCACAACATGGCGGCGGCAACAATAAAGAATAAAAGTTACACCACCTTTCTTTGCGTGAACATTTCGGCGGCATTATGCAAATCTTCCCAGATAGTGATGTAGATATGTGGGGGCGTGTTAGAACGAGCCGTTTTAGGTAGGTGTGGCTGACTCTTAACTTTTATAAAGAATGTCTCTTTGGATTTGAGACTTTAGTCTTTTACAGCTTTACAGATCTTCTTTAAGCACCAAGAGCTTGTAACACTCCAAAGAGAAAGGAAAAATTGAAATTGCATCATATGACCCCTTTAAAGCAATTTAAAATTGAATCGACTGTAAAAGAGTGATTGTTTGCCTCTCAACGCCTGGAGTTCTGAAACATACGCATCGTTCCATAGCTGCCTATTACCTGGTCTCTCTTATGGCCTTTCATTCTGTGTTTATTCCTCCCTTATTGCTCACTAACCCTTATTTTCCAAGCTGCCACTTACACAGACTCGATCTAATTAAACATAAAGGTTGCATCTCTATCAGAGACCTGTACCTCAGTGTCTAATGATTAGCTTTATTCAGAGCTTTATTGCCATTGCTTGCTCTTGCTTTTAACACTGTGCTCCAAGGCTTTTAGCATGTTTGCGATCACTGTGCATTTCCAGATAAGGTATTAAATTACCCAGTGTCCTCTTTGTGTACATATAATGAGAGAGAGTGCCCTTTCTGTGTTCTCTAGACGCGGTCAGATAGCAGTAATAGAACGGCTAGGGGGCGGGTGCAATGGTTTCCCATCAGCCCTATGTTTTGCTGTTTCATTATTTTGTTATTTTATGTCGTCATTCTGTTCGCATGCAATGTTCAGATCTGATTGTTTCCCCTCTCGTACGTCCATGGTATTTGCCATTTGGTATTTGCCATTTCGTCTTATTATTGAATAATTAGAGTTGTGGGATCAATGAAAAAGATGGATTTTTCATGGAAACATGGTTTTTAGGTATTCTTATGGGATCCAAGGGTTATATTATGGCTAGATGGACAGGCCTTTTGTAATACTGATTGTGATGGAACAACTGTCTTTACTCACATCAATGCTGCCCTGACTCTTCAATCGCCTCTCTTCGGAGAAAAGTGCAATCACAATCCCTGTTGGGTAGCAGTGATGAGGTATACCTTTATAGTGCCTCATCACTACTGCCTTTAAATGCATCACATACCTCTCTACAAGAGACCAATCCCTTCCCCAGTGCATGCACAATAGTTTCCCCATAGCAATCCAGTGGCACCAAAAGTAGAGTCACCTTACGCGCTTTCCAAGGCACAGATTAGAGCTGTAATCGGGCCTTAAAAGTTAGGCCCGACAGAATTCGGCCCGAGCCCGACAAGTACATTTTGATTGACAGCTTTTTAAAAGCCCGAACCCATTTACAGCCCGACATTATTCAAATGTGCGCACGCACATAGCTCTTTTGCCTTTTGTTAAGAATGAGTCATTTATACATGTTTTAACATAATTTATTCATGACTAATGTAGGCTATAGGCCACTTTGAAGTTGGAACAAAGAAATAAAATAAGTCCTCTGTAACATCGTAGCACTCTAAATAGGCCTAGGCATACACTTAGCCTATAAATAGGCCAATGCACCAATAAAGATGAGTCTTTCTTAACAAATTAAATTAAGATAAATTCTAAATTAAGATGGGTATTTGGCAATAACGAAATTAAGATAAAGGCTCCGTGGGATTTTGAAATTTAATAAAAGAATAATGCCAACATTAGCCTATATACTCTGTCTACATTATGCATTTAAGACT